TGAGAGAAGGGACCAGCCTCTGGGCTATCTCTGTCCACAGGCTCATTTTGTCTTCCTCGGCCAGAGATCTCCTCTGGGACACTGTCAACATCCATTTGACCCCTTCCTGCCTCCTGTTTGTGTCATTTCTCAATGCCCTGAATGGGATCAACCCTTCCCTGTATGCAACAAGAGATAATTTGCTCCAGAGAAAATACCTGTTCTTACAGCTGGTCTTTTTACCTCATTTTAGAGTTGCTTTTCACCAAAGGTTCTGAGCACAGCTCCTGAAAAATCAGTAACAATAGCAAAGTTGCTAGTAGATGTTTTAGAGTACCTGGTATTTCACACCTTGCAGAGAAAACCAATTCTTGGGTTGAGTTTTTATCTGCCTTCAATTTCTTTTTGTTCTTGCATTGCTTTCATTAATCTCATTTTAAAAATATTTTTGTTGTTGTTTTGAGACTATACATGCTTTGCTAGCAGCTTGAGTATTGCATGCTGGGGTATGTTGTGAGCACTGCAAGGCTGGATAGTCACAGGAAAGGGGAAAGGATCCCTTAATCTCTAGGATATGTAGATGTGGCACTTAGGGATAAGGTTTAGTGGTGGACCTGGCAGTGTTAGGGTTACAGCTGAACTCGATGATCTTAAAGCTCTTTCCTAGCTGAACTATTCTATAATTCAGTGATGTGATTACTTCAGCTTTTTAGGTTGGTTTGGTTTTGTGCTCCAGGAGCATTAGAAATGTCTTTTTTCCCAAATGAAAGCTGAAATCACCCATGGGTTTATTAGGTGGGCAGCTTAATAAACCCCTGCAGCAAGAGGAGACTTGCCATGGTTTTGTGTCTGCTGCTGGCACCGAGGTTTGTACAAACAGGTCTGTGAACCCCAAAGGCACAATGCTTCCTGCACCCAGAGGTGGACAAGATCCTTAAGGGCACTTTAATCTCCAGACAGCAAAAGCTTTATCCCACTGTGGGACTCTGAGACTAAGTTTTGCATTTTACACTTCTTGAAGGAGTCTGGGAATTTTACAAGATGAAGAGCTACTGCCTGTTTAGTGAGTTTTCACTCAAGCCCTCCATTTATTTCAGTGGGCTGTACATACATATTTTTATCCCTCCTCATTTAACTGTGTTCCAATTTCAGCTTGTACCAGTCTTTTATTCTGAAGTTAATTTTAATTGCAGATGTAAAATACCTTGAAGGACTCCGTTGAATAATTTCCTCTCATAAACCAGGAGATAAATAGGCATCAGGTAACTATTTATGAACCATAACTACCCCTCAACAGCACAAAGGCACACGGGGGCTCCAGTGTCGTGGCTTGACTGACAGGGATGGGGATGCTGATGAAGAGATTTGCCTTCCATGCCTCTGAGCCCTATGGAGATGATCCCTCTAGTGGGGACTTGGAAAATTAACCGGTGGTGCTGCTTGGCAGTGCAGGAATGCTAAGGAGGGAACAAATGAAAAAGTTGCCTAATGTTAGGGGGGAAAAAAACGCCAAACAATGAAAGAGACAGCTGTATTTTCCTAAGCTAAAATTACCACTGAAATAAGATTTTAAGGTAGTTGTTATGAGATGTAGTAAACGACGCCATAATGCTTACTCAGTGATTTCTTCAAAACACTTTAAAACAGTTTTATTTAGATTTTTTTTTTCATTGAAATAATGAGACTTTTTTTTTATGTATTATCATCTCCTTGGGAGAGGAGAAGAATAAATTATTTATAAAGTACTGTCTGAATGATCAGGGGGAAAAAAATTGTGATTTCTTCCTTCAGATGAAAGCATAAAGTCTTTTTATGGAAACAACTATTTAATTTTTCAAGAGATTTCAAAAATATTTCCAAGAGAGTCAAAGAATTTCCTACCAGGAAAAAAAAAAAACAGGATTTGTGCTCTGATTGCAGGTTCTACCTGCTTCTGGTCCATCATGTGCCTCTCGTTACTGTCATTACTCACAGCACCTCTTAAGGGCAAGGCATAAAGCATGGAGCTTGCTGCTCCCCCCTGGCCCTGAGGTGTGTTCTCTCTGCACATTGAGTATGGGACATTCCTGGACAGTGTCTGATGGAGGTCACAGGTGTCTGTTAACTGTAGCTGCCTTGAAGAAATAATTTGTAGTAGAAAGTTTTCTTGTTGCTGTTACTGTGAAAAGCCTTTGTGGCAGCAGTGAGCTCCTTCCTGTATGACCTGGTGTTGTATCACTCCATGCTTTCCTGAAGGATCAACAGTGTCACCCTGTGTTGCACCAAGTGTTCCCTTGTGTAAAGATAAATCTGGCAGCTTTTGGATAAACATCCAGGTGACCCTCATGCCACTGCTGGATCACGGCTCCCATTGCAGACTCTTGGTTTGCTCACTGGAAGAAGACGTGGCTGTAGACAGGAGTTATGATACCAAAATCTGTCTCCTTTTGGACTTGTCCTTTACCACCCTTCAACATCTAAATTTTTTTTTTGTTGTTCAAAAAGAAGAAAAAGAGGAAGTTTTATTTCTGACTTAGCAATATATAGAACTCTAAAAGTGACAGTAGATTGGAGGATGAAATTTCCACCTCTCCAATTATACTGGTTAAACTAACAGTCTATCAATTCTCTCCTCCCACAAAGAAGAATGTAAAACAATAATTATTTACATGAATAGTGTGTGAGAACTCTAGTAGAAATATGTAAACATTAGAAGGCATAGAAAACTTTTAAAAGAACTTTAAAAGTTTAAAAAAACAGGGTGACACTCCATCTCTGGCCAGGGGCATCTTGCAGTGATTCTTTCAAGTAGAACATGGCTTGCAGGTAGAACATGTTGTTGGTTTTATAGAGGTTCCTCTGGCATGTGGAGAGACTTTATTGTTTTGCTGCATATTTTTGTTCTGTTAATAAAGGTGCAAGTTTAGTAGCGACTTTTTACTAGAAGGAACTGGATCAGGTTCTTACAGAATACATTGGCACAATTTAGTTTTATGTTTGGGACTCAAATTTGGGGAAATTAAAGTCTAATGTCCTGTCTTGAACAGGTAAAATGAAAACCAGTGAAGTTTACAATGCATTGCCTACTTATCTGTAGACTTATAAAGCTAACTTCTATACAATCTATTTTTGCAAACTTCAGTAGTCTTCTAGTACCTGAAGGGAGCCTACAAGAAGGATGGAGAAAGATCATTTGCAAGAGAATGTAGTGACAGGAAAAGGGGAAATGGCTACAAACTAAAAGAGAGTAGTTTTAGATTAGATATTAGGAAAAAATTCTTTACTGGGAGGGTGGTGAGGCACTGGAACATCTTTCCAAGAGAAGTTGTGGATGCCTCATCCCTGGAAGTGTTCAAGACTAGGTTGGATGGGGCTCTGAACAACCTAGTCTAGTGAATGTGCCCCTGCCCATGTCAGGGGTTGGAAGAAGATGATCTTGAAAGTTCCTTCCAACACAAATCATTATAGAATTCATAACCCTTATATGATATAAGCTGTAAGTAATCAGCATTAGTATGTTAATTAATGTAATGATATGTTTGTGCTGAGGAATAGGTTACATAGGCTAATGATACCCAAATTCTGTTCTTTGATTGTTTTGAGTTGTATATAGTGAACAGGAAGTGAAAGCAATTTATGCAATTATGTGGATGGTGCAAACGATCAGACCTGACAGACCATGGATTTCAGGGGATGCTGTTATATGCCTCAAATATACTCTTAGGCTGGCAGTTGACTTCAATGACCCAAAGAACCCACAGACCACCTCAAAATACATCACCACAGGGTTTCCCCATGGTGGAGAGTTTTTGTTGGGTTAGTTTTTATTTTTTTTTTAATTATAGGTTATACCCTGGCAGACCTAGGGGTGCAATGTAACCTTGTAATTGGCAATCACAAAACTCTGCCCTGCTTCCTAAAATGTCAACAACGTATTCATCAAATGCTATCAAGGTTGCCATAAAGTAGAGTTTATGTGGGGATTTTTGAAGCACTGGTGAAGTTTTGGTTCCAAGTACAAAAATCAGCCTAGTTCCACATTTTTTAGATATATGAATTTATGGTAAATATTGTCGTTGAGCTAGAGTGTTGTTTTGCAGGCTTGAGGATGAAAAGCTGCAATGCATTTCTGAGCACAGGTGACGATCCGGTCTTTGAAGGTTTCATTGTACTCGAATGATTGGAGTATTGGAAGAACCAGATTTGAAAATATCAGGCTCAAGACAGGGTAGTTTAGCAGAGCAGCCATGTGGCTAGCTGGAAGAGCTCCAGGGAATAGACTTAGTTTGGGCTAAGTATTAGCTGAGTAAGGCATGACTAATAAGATTTTTCAACAAAGCATTTTAGAGTCTGTTGAAACCATCTATTTCCCTTGAAGAAAATAAAACATTAGCAAGTTTTTCTACTAATTCTAAAATAAAGCTCACGGTCTCACATTTAGCTTGTGTGGTGGGAAACTCCCTACAGTTCACTTTGGAAACCTTTCACTTTGGAAACCTTTCTAGGATTTAATAATCATCAGTGAATTGAGCTACTTAGGTCATTAAGCATTCAGCTGTTCTGCCATCTCAGTGTACAAATGGGTGCCTGCTTTTCATGTCAGCTGTGGTTAGAATGTTGGAGAGAAGAATACTGAATTAATTGGAAAATTAGCATAGATTGAATTACACTTGTGTGAACTGTCAGTGATTTGGATGGGGAGGCTGCAAGTGTTTACTGGGGGATGCAGCAGTGTGGAGAGTGGGTATAGGCTTTAAATGCATGGGAGCAGGAAAGTGTTTTGGATTGTGGTACTTCTTGAGATGGAGGACAGGTGGAATTTGTGCCATGGCATGAATAATACATGGCCTAATAATTTTTTTCCTTTTCCTCCAGTGGCTTTGTGTTTTGGTGCTAGGCATAATGTGAAGGGTAACTTTCAGTGAGTGCAAGTGTGTTTCAGCAGGCTACTGATTAAGGATGTAACAGTATTGATTTACTTGGTTTAGACTTAGTAGGTTCTGTAGGTATAGGGCCAGGGGGAATGGTTTTAAATGGAAACTGTAGATTTAGAGTAGATAAAAGGGCTGGCTGTAACCAGCTTGGATATGAGAGCCTTCAGCTTCCCTCAGCCCTGAATGAGGACAGGGTATGGAAATTTAGGTTTGCTTGTGCTTATGAATGTCATAGCTCAAGGTGTGCTCTGTGTGTGGGATTTTCAACTCCTTCCCCTAACTTTTCTTCTTCTATTAGGATTTTTAGAGACTAAAGAACATTTTGAACTCTCATGAGATGTGAAAATTGGACCAGATAAATGAAAAAATACAAGCAATAGCATTGGTATCTCCTGCAAAGCACAATGCCTATTTTGCCACTGAGGAGAGGGGGAAATGACATAAGGAAGAAGTGTCAGTGTTGTAAAAAAGCAACACTTCTCACAAATGGTTACTATGGGAGGAATTTATCCTCAGTACAGTAAGGCAGTAATGTCTCCCAGGAGTTTTCAGCAAATACTGAAGCCTTAACAAAAATATTTTCTTATTCTCTTCCTAGGCTTGATGTACCAGGTTCCTCCAGCCCATGGTGGCTCAGAGCACTCTCCTCTCTGACCAGGCACTTTGGAGCTCTTTGGAGCCTCTCTGTCTCTTTGTGACTAATGGGTCTTGCCCAGGAGTTGGAATTGCACTGAAAAGCTGATTCACTTTGAACAAAGGTAATTTTATTTCAACAACTTAGTCAACTCCAGTGTTTTTCTGCACACAGGAGAGGAGTGTGGTCAGGACAGAGCAGGGTTTTAACCCTGAGGCTGCCTTTGGATCAGCAGGCATTGCCCCAGCAGGAAATAGTTGCGGTGCACTGCAGTGTGCCCTGGATCCTGCCTGTCTTGCTGCTCAAGCTGTGTTTTGTCCAAGGACATCACGAAGGAGATTCTTCACCTTAGTAAAGAAGTCTACCAGCTTGTTGAGTGGAAATGGGCAGGAGCTAACCTCACCCAATGGTGTTGGCTTTGGGGTGGGGGGTGCTGTCGGCCAAGGCTTTTGAGAGGGGA